GGTTCAAGCTCACTAGCTGTTCTTCGGAAACCCTATATAGGATCGCTATGGGTCGGAACTGACTCTATGGCACTTAACAATAACAACGCAGTCTGAAATGGATTCAACATACAATCAAGGAACGTTGATAATTACAATTTTGGAATGCACAAGTTGGAAACAAAGGATCAGTAGTTGGAAAATACGGTCTTGGTGACATAAACAAACACTAGAGAGGGCATGATATAATTTTGCAAAGCAAACTAATTACTGCATATAGTGTTTTTCAAAATGATGACTACATATGTAGACCTCACTAGAAGGAATACACAAGAATCAATACACCACACCTGTGGAAAGAGATGAACTTCTGACTGTAGAACAGACCATCAAATAGCTCATATGCAAGTTAAAGCTGAAGCGCAAAAAAATTAAAGCAAGTCTACAAAAGTGGAAAGGAGCTCTGGTAGCGTAGTGGTTACGAATCGGGATGCTAACCTGAAGGTCAGCAGCTCGAAACCACCAGCGGTTCGGCGGGAGAAAGATGAGGCGTTCTGCTCCCGTAAAGATTTACAGCCTCAGAAACCCGGTGCAGGGTCACTATGAGTCAGAACTGACTCCATGGTACTTAACAAAAACAAGAGTGAAAGTATGACCTTGTTGTTGTTAACTGCTGTTGAGTTGTTCTGACCCATAGCGACCCTGTATAGGGTTTCCAAGGAGTGGCTGGTGAGTGTGAACCACTGACCTTGCAGTTCAAATTAAGACTTTGCAGTCGAGAGCATTAACCCACAGCACCACAGCAGGACTCAGGACTCCAAGTATGACCTTGAGTATAACCAATTTGAATTCAGAGACAGACCATCTCAGAGTTACAAGACTCATTAACTCTCTGCCATACACAGATGACATAACCGTGTGCTTGTTGTTGAAAGCAAAGAGGACTTGAGTTTATTGATGAAGACCAAAGCCTTTAGTATAGCTTATATCTCAACATAAAGACAACAAAAATCCTCGCAAATGGACCAGTAAGTCATGATAAACAAGAAAAAAAAACTGACTTTGTCAAAAGATTTCATTTTACGTGAATCCATAATCAAGGCTCATGGAAGCAGCAGTCAAGGAATTCAATGACATACAGTGCTGGGCAAACCCACTGCAAAAAAATTTCTTTAAAATGTTCATTTTGAAGACATAAGCACTTTATGTCAGGCATTTTCAATGACTTCATATACATGTGAAAGCTGGAAATGATTAAGAAAGAATGAAGAAGTATTGATGCTTTTCAATTACAGTGCTGGCTAAAAATGTTAACTATACCATGGGCTGCCAGAGGCAAGAACACATCTATCTTGGAACAAGATTTCATCTCATCTAATTTAGGTACGTCATCAAGATGGACCAATCCCTGGAGAAGGACTTCATGCTTGGTAAAGTAGAACATCAGTGAAAAACTGGAAGACCCTCAATGAGATGAACTGACACAGTGGCTACAACAATGGCCCCAAACAGCAATCCTTGTGAGGATGGTGCAGGACCAGGCAGTGTTTCATTCTTCTGTCCCGAGAAGCACTATGAGTGAGCTATGAATCAACTTAACAGCACCTAACAATAAAACATCAATCAACAATTCCTGTGTATCCAACTTTCTCAAATAAAGCCTAGGAATGAACAAACTTATTCTAAAACTACTAGAAATAATCCACTCATTTCACCTTTCTTCTCAGAAATGTGACTAATAGTCAAAGATACAACCCTTTTCAAAATAGGTAGTAGTCAAATGAATGATGAGAGCTAGAAAAGGTACATTTTCCTGTTTTCTTTTTACATTCTGTATATAATTTCCATTATAACCTATGTTTTAAAGTATAATGAACGGTGAAGACCTGGTTAGCCAGCAGTGTGGCAAGACCTGGGGACTCTTGGGCCCAGAGTCAGTGACATAGCCACAGAGGACTAGAGTGGA